AAAGCCGGAAGTGGCCCTGTGGCTCAAGTGGTAGAGCGCTAGCCTTGAGCTGAAGAGCTGAGGGACAGTGCCCAGGCCCAGAGTTCAAGCCCCACGACCGGACCAAAAAAAGAGTCTCATGGACTTTCCTACCTAGGCTGGCTTTGAACTATGAACCTCAGATCTCAGCCTCCTGAGTGTCTAAGATTACAGATGTGAGCCACAGGTGCCCAGTGACTTTGATTCCTAAGGAGACATTTGCTCTTGAGGTGGCACAGGTCCTAGGCAGGCACTTCAGTCAGTGAGGAGCCAGGATTTGAACCCAGGTCCTTTTGTCTTATGAGCTTGTGTCTGGTTTGGGTCAAGCAAAGGGTAACCATGCTAGTTCTGGGGTGGGGGAGGTGGGAGTTAAAAGCCCAAAGACTTCTGGGTTCCCTGGACTGTCACACTCCTCTGGGGACCCGGCCCTGCTCAACACAAGCACTAGCATTCCTGCACACCCTCTCCACAGGCCAAGCTGCACACGGAAGACCTTTAGTCAGTCTGGACATGGCCTGCGTTTGCTGAGCTGGCTGCCTCCAGCTGGCTGCGTCCGAGGCCTCCGCTGCCCACGCTCACCTCACCACCTCCATTATACAGAGAATAAGTTCCCAGAAAAACCCCTGCTCTGACTCACAAGGCTCCAGGGGTGGGCAGCAGCCCTGCTGGCCTGGGCCTTGCTTACCCCTCTCCCTGCCTGAAGAGGGTTTCCAATCCACTGCTGAGGTGTCTAGAAGTACGCCCCTCCTCACCCCTGCTCACCCTTCCTCACCCCTCCCTGCCCCTGAGTATTATATCTGCCTTCCTTCTTACTTCAGACAGAGAAATGGCTTGGCTGTGCTCCTGCCAGGAAAAGCTAGTCAATGGAGTCAGAATAGCAGGTCCCTGGGATGGGGCGGGGGCAGAGAGCATAGTTTTGGAAGGGGCTGGGAGAACCTTCTGGAAATGTAGCTTGATCCAGGTAGGAGATATACAAAGAGTTGTCAGGCTGCGTATTTATATTCTATCTATCTATCTATCTATCTATCTATCTATCTATCTATCTATCTATCTATCTATCTATCTATCTATCTACCTACCTACCTACCTACCTATATTACAGACCGCAATAAGAGTGGCAGTAAAAGTAACAAAACACCATGACTTGGGTTTTGTAATCGTTATGGACCTGCATTGAAAACTTGTCTCTGTTTTTTAGTTGTGTGACTTTAGATCATGTACTTGAACTCTGAATTTCACTTTATTTTTTAACTGCGGTATGGATTTTAAGAATGAGAAACATTAAAATATAATAATAATAATACTTACAAAACATCAGCCCAGATTGGTCTGGGATTCTCAGTCCTCCTACCCTCAATCCCTATGGAATTACAGGAATGCACCACCATACCTAGCACTGATTTTTATAAATAGTCCTTAGTACCAAGTCAGCTGTTGCAGGGCGTTCAATACAGAACCATCTTAGCTGTTGCCACAGCCAACAGCAAAACATGAACAAGAAGACATTATCTTTCCTGGAGAAGACAATAAGTGGAAGGGAGGGGAGCTGAGAATTTAGAGATAAAATAGGAGTTGGTGTGTGGTCAGCCTGCTTTTGATCATCCACACATGCAGAAAAATCTACATAATATCAGCAATAAAGAATTCTGTCCTGAGCTGGGCACCAGTGGTTCACTCCTGTAATCCTAGCTATTCAGGAGGCTGAGATCTGAGGATCACTGTTCAAAGCCAGTCCTGGCAGGAACATTCAAGAGACTCTTATCTCCAATCAACCACCAGAAAACTGGAAGTGGTGCTGTGGCTCAAGTGGTAGAGGGCTGGCCTTTAGCTGAAGAACTCAGGGACAGTGCCCAGGCCGAGTTCAAGTCCTATGACCAACAAAAACAACAACAAAAAGAATTCTGTTCTGAAACTAGCATTATTTGTTTATGTTCTAAATAATTATGGTAGTAGCCATTGGGTTTGATGATATTTATGTAAGCTCCAGAGTAGCACATTAATTCTTACCCTTGAATGAACATCTTCTGCACAGGGACCGTCTATGAGCAGAGTTACCAAAGGGTATTCATTGTATGGAACTTTCTTAGTTAAGAATCTTTCAAACACAAAGTATGTCTTCCATTTTGTTATTTGTACAGCAGATAACTTGGTTGAATGCAAAGGGGAGTTATTGAAATGTCCATTGGAGATGTAAAACATGAGGCCTGGCTGGGCGCCAGAGGCTCACACCTGTAATCCTAGCTACTCAGGCGGCTGAAATCTAAGGATTGCGGTTCTAAGCCAGCCCAAGCAGGAAAGTCCCGGAGACTCTTATCTCTAATAAGTGGTGCTGAGGCTCAAGTGGTGGAGCACTCACCTTGAGCTGAAGAGCTCAGGACAGCGCCCAGGACCAAAGTTCAAGCCCTACAACCAACAACCAAAACGACAACAACAACAACAAAACATGAGGCCTGCTGCTGACTAAAACATTAGCAAGCCCAAC